AGATTCAAGTRCAATTGTATTTTACAACTCAGGCTCCTCAGGTATCACTGGTTTGCCCTACTATGCATATGATAGTAGACAAAATAAAAACCAAAATATGACAACAAGGAAGATACCACAAATGAGGKTTTTGTATCAAATTCTACATAAAAGTTTTGTTGTTGTCATYCAAGGAGAGACAAATAATATGGAAGCTGTCAACAATACATCATGTAGTACTGGAATCTTGGAAAATATCAGGCACCACTTCTACTAGTATAAGTTGAATTTTAGACAGGGACAGGGAAAATACATAGTAGCTAATAGTAGATTGTTGCTGCCTGTGTTTTGACACTTAAAATCTGTGCATTCATCTAATTGATTAAAGAAAAGGAGATACTCCAAGGGAAGATTGCTGATTGCTGCAACAAGAAGTACTACATAGTACAAGATCTTAAGGCAACCATGAACAATAAATAGCAGTTCATCTGTTTTCTATCAGGCAGGACTCCACAGATTGGTAATACTAGGTGCAACATGTGGGAGTGACTGTCCTAAAAGAGATGTAAAGTGTGTGCTAGTAGAAAAGTGAGTCGATGCTCTTATCGAGGATCGACGAACTATGAAATCTAGNATATGCATCTAGTAGTAGTACCTAGTATCAGGGTACTGGAAGAAAATCAAAGTAATTCATTCAACTCAAACCAGTGGGAGGAGACTCTTCTTGTCAACAGCAACATGGGAAATACCTATCAATGCAGCACATATCAATGCTATGATGAAAGACTCCTAACCTACAAACTCAAGGACTCTGGTGCCCATCCACTTAATGTCAGTACTACTACTATTAAGAACATCATTGCCCACTAAATTTAAAGCTTCTTGCCATCTAAATTGTAATAGATCTAATGTTATACAGAATGATTGTTGATGGGAAATTTAGACATGTATGCTCATTGTTGAAATTATATCATTTGCTAGTAGTAGTAGTAGCATCAAACAGTTGGATACATTGAACTACTCCTAGTAGTAKTGGTATCTGAACTTCTTATGATTAGTATATGAGCGACAAGAAGCTGTCATATAATTTCTATTGCAACCTAGTAGTATCCATTGCCTTTGCAGATGACTCCAACCAACTCCAACCAGTGGGAGGAGATTGCAATATAGTACCCATTGTCTTGTTTGCAGATGACTTCAACCAGCAACTCAAACCAGTGGTGGTGGTGGTGCTGGGAGGAGGAGGAGGAGGAGGAGGAGGAGGAGGAGGAGGAGGAGAGGACTCCTCCTCTCGTCCTCCCTTCACCTCTTCTTGTTCTTCTTGTTGTCAAAAAAAGATTTTTTATCTCTGGAAATACTTCTAGCAAGTCTGTCAATCTGTCAAACTGAAAAATGGATACGTCCAGGATTCTGAAAGTATCAACGTGATGGATGTTATTTTCAAATTGTAGATGCTAAGAAAGTTGAATGGATAGAAGAAGTGGTTCTTGAAGGAGACTCAAAATAGTTTTTGCGCCGTAGTAACTTCTGTACTTGCGTTAGCGASCCCGCAGAAACTATTTGCGTGAGCGAGTCCATTCTGTTTCTTGTGCTTAAAAGATTAAAAGAATACGTTTGGACTTCCAATCATTGATAACACTCATCGTTTCAATGCGAGACTACCGGTATGAGTTTCTAGTTCCGGMCGTTTTMGTCAGACATGAGGAGACAAGAAGTTTYTCGAAAAMCGATCGAATATGATATTAATACAAGTTCCGTATGTGCTTTTAGAACCAAGGGAGTCCCCGCGAMACACTATTTATGAATAGCATCGAACAGAGCAGTCACAGCGGTTGAAGCAGAAAACTGTTAGGGCTCGAATCGCATTACGAGTGACTCGTGCCAGCACCCAACCTGTGTGCAGAGAACGAAGTGARTCGSAGAATAGAAGCATTGGAGCKACGATAACTACTAGTCYGCGRAACCGAAGCCATACGCGATACTACCCGCAGAATTGCCAGCACGGAACGAGCATGGCAGAAAGTGTGGCAAAAAACGCCGAGAGGCGTCAACGTGCCGCGGGCAAGAGCACGACGCTCTCCGATTCTTCGGCCATGAACACGGTTSTCGTATCCATGGATACGATCGTCAATTCCCCATACCAGGGAAACTTCAGTGCGGAGGTCGGAGAACATCTCTTCGAGGCCACGGAATCGCTGATGGGACCCGAAAAGAGCTCTTCGATCCAACTACCCTCTAAGGAAGCAATCGAATTATTTGGGGARAAGGAGGCCGARACTATCACCGAAATGTCCMARGCGATTTCGGTATCGGGGATGCTCTACGGATGCGACTGGTCCAAGGGGTTCATACGGGGGAAGTGGTACGGGGTTATTCCAACGAACTTGCTACTCGTTTTGCTGCGGGATCACCGCATTGCCCGCGCAAACATTACGCTTCTCAAGCTTATCGCTAAGGACTTAAAGGTGTGGCCCATCTGCTGCCTTGCCCTCTCGAGTTGGAGCCTATCGGAACTGTACCCGGTTCTGGCACAGTGCAATCAGAAATTCATTCTGAAACTGAAGCAGCGACAGTTCTTCCACTGCATGTTCTTTCTGGCCCGGGCGGCTACCTGCATGAAGATCTTGGATGTGGACTCGTTTGGTGTGGGGAAGGAYTCGAAGCTCCATTCCAAGATCCATGCGTGTCTTGCCATTATGGAAAARGAGATCGATGCAGAAATCGTGCGGGCGAATAGCCGAAAGAGAAAAGCAGCACCTGTTCGACCGCCGAGTCCTGTTCGTAGCAGTTGTAGCAACGACAACAATGACGACAATAGGAAAAGAAGATCCGTTGTTACCATCAGCAACACCGCAATGCCAATGCGCAATTCCRCGATCCCAAACTTTTCTGGCAACTATAGTAGAACGGGAATGCAAAATCATTTACCACAGATTCCTTCTGGTGGTGAACATTCTTGCCAACTACCAAA